TTTTTACTTTTCCAGAGTTCATTAAGACACAAGACCTTAATTTTGGTCTTTATTATGTGAGCAATTAGAAAAGCTAGTCAAAAGGATCTCGTTTTAATAAAACCTTTTTCGCATTTCCATAAAATATAATTAACACATGTAGTCCTCATTAGTTTAGCCTAAACCTTCTTCGTATTATTTTTAAAATGAATTTTATTTTATAATTCACGTTAATTTAAAAACTCTTGCTTGCTTGCTTTTACAAGCGTATTAATAATATAAACTCAGTAAGATCTTACAGTAGGATTAACACACATATTTTTAGCTTATTTTAGTTACTTCTATAGCATTATGTCATAATAATATGTTGGAGGAATGCAAATGACATTCAGTATATCTTTGTTCTACAGAGCAAGGTACAAAAATTTATTTTTAAGTTAAAATTTTGATTTATTTTAGTTTTGTATTTTTGTATTATATTAGTAACAGGAGGAGATATGATATGGTTTTAAGTCAGTGATAGTATGACACTTCCTTTCGTCGAAAAAGACGTTCAAATATCGGATCACCTACTATCTATTTAAATTAAAATGTACTAAACTCATCAAAACTGCACGAAACATTTCAAATGCAAAATAATGCATCGACAATATCAAAGAAACAGAATACACATTTAAATTAAGAACAAGTTTTAACTTTTTTTTCCTAATATAATTTTTTAACTAAATAGGTTATAATACACTCCATTAGAGTGACTAATTCTCCCTTAAATCCCATTAATGAACCTTGAAGATGCAAAGTGAACGGTAGGTAAACTAATGGAATGCTTGAACATGACACTAGAGGTCGAATGGACCGAGGTATTTAATACTAGCTATTGTACTAACTAGGTATACTTATATGTCCATTATGGAAGTACGGTGACTGGGCTTAGTGTGTATATTTGATACTGATGATAGTTAAAACACTGATATATTGGAGTGGGGTTTTTTGAAAGACTACTGTTTATCGCTCATTGTATTCAATGGTACATTTTTTAAGTAATTTCGATTTATATAAAGTTTTTTTTCATAGGAGACTTATTTTGGACCAGCAATGTCACCCATGGCAGTTAAAAAATTGTCTCATTTCGGTTTGAAATCTAATAACATACCTAGACAAATGACAATAGGTTCTTTTCAGTGTCATTCAGTCATCGGTTATTGCTTAATCAATACAAATACTATCATCACCTGCTTATTAGTGCCAACTGCTGATTATAGTCATCTTACACTGAGAAGGGATGACCATTATGCACCATGCTAGCTCACAAACTTAGAATTAGATATCATTTTCTTCCTTTACCGTAGGTCATTGGTATCATTTGTCATTGGTATCATTGGTATCAATCAATGTAAACTTAGAATGGATTAAAAATCGGACATAGTCACATCAATACTTATCAAGTTTCGAACTCTCTCTTTCTAGCCACCAGGACCTCTAATTATCAATTCTTGCAAAGATAACATACCACTCTACCTCTCTTCGATAGTTTTAACCCATCAGACTAAATAACTGAACTTAAAGTCAGTTGTTGAACTGAAGCACGCTTCTGTCTTTTGTGAACCATTTGAAGAGACCCGTCTGCAACACTCGCTTCACTAGAGTAACTGTCGTCTTACTAGCAGACGAAGAAATAAACTGACGTGAAGTGGAACAATGTACAACACTGAAGGCAATGCGGAATGCTTGCTTGTGTAAAATGTAACTTGCTACCTAAGAAATGGGGTCTGTAATTCCTTAGACTGGACCGTAAGATATTTTCTAGTATTCCATGTTACAAATTATCTTCTATTTTAGTAACGAACTGTTTAAGCAAAATCAAACTTTATTTACAAATCGTCATGGCGTAATAGTAAGCCTAAATCGTTTGAAAATTCTTTTGAACTAGATTACTGAGAACTACTAAAATGAAAATTCAAATATTCAATTCAGTAAAATGGCGTCGCTTCGCTATCAAGGCAAGACGGTAATAATTCCTTTCCAATATCATGCGGGAGCGTAGTACGCAGGTTACCTCCTTGTAGAACATAATTCCACATAGCTCACTCGAACAGGAATCTAACAGAATGTCTTACGACATGCCTTAGTTCTGCTGGCTTTTGATTCACTCCTCTTTGTTGGAGGTTAGAGATGTCTGGTATTCAAGATCTAGACAATTTTGATTTGCGTTACGAAGATTCCTTTAGTACCTACCTGTTCTTTCATTAATTTCATTAATTCTGTCTATAAGAACAAATATGTGAATACTTGTAGTTGTGAAGTTGTCTTTTATAACAGATTTTTGATAATTATTGACTTATAACATATATTTTGCTTACACAATAGGAAAATTCAGGGCTAAAACATACCTGAAACACTTTAGTTCTCGGTAATATTAAAGAAAAACAAATACAGCTCAGTCATAACAGTACAATTGATAACATATCAGAGATAGTGGAGTAATGGCGTCACTGTCGTAGCGATCGAGCTCGAACTCGCGTCGTAGTGAGGACAAACTCGCTCGGTGCGAACTCCACCGATGTAGAAGTTTAGTTTCCGTGATATACGGGAAAATTTTTACGATTAATTCTTGCTCGAACTCACCCGAGCGTTGATCGTTGAGGGCAGAAATATTGAACTCGCAAAATGTAAAGGTATTTTTTAAAACGGATGATACTTTTCTATTTTGTGTGTGATATTGTTTTTAGCTTAAATTAAATATGAATTTTATTCTGATTTATTTAAGCATGTTGTGTCATATCTTAGATTATAGGTACTGTTGCATAGTTTTACATTTGTATGTCATTTTAAAGAGATTACTTAAGATTTTAGAATTTATAACCAGCAACGGTGTTAAACACAACTCAATTAACACATTTAATTCAATACACATTCTAGAAAATACAACGTTAAATTTCCTAGAACCATTGTTTTAACACAAAATGTTTCTATCTTGTTACAAATAAGTACTAGAAGTGGCGTTCAAGTCTCAAGTGTCAGTTTACTTTACTTGGAGCCCTATTATCACAACAAGTCACTCTGTTCAATGACTTTCTACTTGGTATTTCAAGTAGAAACAAACAACTTTAGAATTCCTTTGAATTTAAAACAATTTAATTGATGTTGAACTTTACGTTGTAATTTTATAGCAAAACACTGGGATTGTTATTGTTGAAGGAGTTTGTTAGTGTGTGTGTTATCAAATGCATTTATTTTATCTAACTGGAGCGTGGAATCAATATATCATTTTCGTAGTAGCCCAAGACATTAGTCGCTTAACAGTTCCCCTACTGACTAAATTGATTAGGTACAATATTTGCCAATCGCAGCTTAAGGCCCTCGAGTTCTTTTTTTCACCTTTTCTGATATTCCAATTCAAATAGACCCTTCAACTTATCCGATAATGTCCATGTTATTCTAAAAACTAATCTCAATCATCTATAGCTGTAGACACTCAGTAAATTACACAAAGAAGGAATAAATAACTATGTAAATATGTCCTACATAGTTAAAACATAAATATCCTAGGCAACAATCGGTAATTTATAAATGATGAGCTAAAAGTACCTGTTGTGCAGTTTCATTGGATAATTCATCAACGCGTCCAGCTCCTAATCTTGTCAGTTCGTGTTCAACGCGATTAACAATGCAACGGTCATTGCTAATCTCCGGGCTTTGTGCGATCGTGTGCAGTACTCGGCTATGCTCGGCATCGTTCGGAAATTCTCGGTGTTTTTCGGAAACACTCGGAAATTCTCGGGAGGGATTGGAATATTGTCTCTAGCTGTTTTGGTTAGAAATGAAATGGACGCAAATTTTAATTGTGTTCTCGTTGACATTTTTTTTTATAAACTGCGGTAATTTAGCGTTAGTTAGTTAACATGTAAAATAAGAGAAAATTTACTACATTCAAAAGGTTCTTCTTATTTTTATCAGCAGCAGGAAAATAAATATAATATCCTTGACAGATAATATTTACTCTTCTGAATCTTCAGGTTATACACCAGCATATACGACTGACGCTAAATATTATTTAAAGATAAACGTCCAAAAAAAATGTGACAAAATTATATAATTTTACAGTTCAGTTTGATTATTTAGACACCACTGATATACTGTGAAGGTGAACATCGTGAGAAAACCTATAATTCTGATTATAAGTTTGAAATCGCCAACCCGCATTGAGCAAGCGTGGCGATTAATGCTCTAACCTTCTCCGTATACGAAGAGACCTTTGCTCAGCAGTGGGCACTTATAGGCTGATGATGATGATGATGATGACAAAATAGTCTAATTAGTTCTCAGAATAGTGCACACAGATCTCCAACATAAACATCTAGTAAAATGCCAATTTTCAAATTTATAACAGCATTTTTAAGCACGGTAAATATATCCAGGAATGCATTTGGGTACCCTTTCATCGCCAACCTATTGGATAGGAAATAAACAGAGGCTCCGGAATCGTTCCGTATCCGTCTCGTGACAATCCCGTGGCTGTTGGAGTACAAACTGAACATTACTTCCTAATGGCATGTCTCTGAATATTCTATAAAAGCGGTTTTAAAGGAAATCAAGGTCGAATATTAGGATTTCTTCAATATTTTTTGCTATTGGAATTGTATCTTATTGTGGATGTTATATTTTAAAGTTTTATCTGTTTCTTTGGTCCAATCGTCGAAGAACGAACATCGAGTGTAGGTCTTGTTTTATTAATAACAAAAAATATAGAAAATTAGCATTTTTATTAACAAACACAGTTCATTAATGGAGTATCTTCGAAGTTTATTGATGAAATACTAATGTCAATTTACATATCCTTAGTACTTGGTGGCCGAACGCAGTTAAGTATAAAACACACATAAGCTTTCAAATGCAACCGCACGGTGGTACTGTTCAATTTATTTAGCAAACTGAAGCAATTGCAGTCGTTTCATTGATGTCTTCAAAATGCTCTCATCTTTGAACAGAAGTTGGCAAGTTAATCAACGAAGAACTTCAAAATGACCGTAAGTACAAAGCGACAATTTAATTGAATATATTATAACCGAAACTAACCTAATTAAACTAACAGTTTGATTTATCTGGCTATAGATAGAAATATATTTGGATTTGTAGTGATAGAAGTTATTATAAGTATTGGAATACAAGCTTGCAACCAACTTGCACATTTGTTTCTGCACTAGACGAAAAGCAGGAAGCCGCATGTCATTAATTCGTCTTACATTGCTGCGGCAAGTAGCGTCATTGCTTGCTCGAAAACAAACATTTTGGGCAATGTAAACATTATTATGACGGATCGCCACATTTCTGTAAATTAGGCCTAGAACGCGCATGAGATTTTTAAACATCGTCACAAAAAGAGTCTTCTTTTTTGCATTCAGCATTTCAGTTAATTTTGTTTTGTTTCATTCCAATCTCATTTTGATTTGACCGTGGGCCAACCGCAATAAGTTACCGGTGCCTTACCCTGGAGCAGGCGAAAGAACGGCGGGTTTGTAGTCAGTAAGAGTCTGTCATTCCCTCTCGCCATGACCACCCTGGACGAGAAAAATTATTTCATGATTTTTCCTCCCCAAAAAAGGATTTTTTGATTTTTTATATGTTTTGTTCATACACCTTTTTTGGCATATCAGTTTTTTCTCACTCAGGCTCTGATGCATCCACTTTTGTACAGCATGCTGTTTGGAGATATGTTTTTATTTATGATTTTCTTAAATAACTTTTGTTCTGATATTTCTGTCTAATCAGCGGTTATTCCATGAGGCGCCAAGTTTCTAATTTTTTTGTAGTATTAGCCTGTAAAGTTTAAGATTTTGTCTCTTTACTAGAGAGTTATTACGTTTAGTATTAGTTAATAAATTACATAAATTTGACAGCAGGTGAATTGCAGTATCAGTGATGTGGTGCGACCTTTCGGTGAGTACCCTGCAGACCATGTAGCCTTGCATGACCTGGAGTAGAGCTTTTTTTGTTTGCTTGATTGTTTATTTTTGCAATTAATTGATGACGGACTTACAAAGTACACAATCGTAACAACAATTATATAATCCATAGATTGTATTATTATAAGCTTGGTAATCAAGTAAGGAGTGTCAAAACAATCCGTCGTCAATCATTGTGCCTATATTTGATGTGGTCAACGTAAGTCATTGTTAATTGCAACATTGATTGGCATACGGTCTAATCACAGAAACTAGCGGTGCTGGTTCAATGTTCTATGTTTTGGCCAATCACCGTTGGCCCCAACGCAATTCATGCCTTAACATAGGTAATAAATGATGTCTTCATACTTTTATTTCTTGACTTAAAGACTACTAGATTATTGTTTTATTTTTTAATGAAATTGTTTTAATAACTAAACTACTAACAATCCCAACAGTCGCCATATTTAACTGCCTTAATTAGCAAAGTGGTGTAGGTTAACAATTCTCGTGATATTTTTTCTTTTTATTTAATAAGTTTTCCATTTAAGAAATTATATAAGTTTTATTTTGTTTCAGATGTCGCCTACATCTGAAGAGTGGTTAGAGGTATCGAAACATGTTTTTAAGAAGTGGAATTTTCTTCATTATCTGGGAAGTATCGCTGAAAAACATGTAGCCATTAAAATCGATTGGTTTTAGAGAAAAATATTATAACAGCGTTGATCGACGCTTATAATATAGTTGTTTCATTTCATGCCCATGTCAGATTTATTTTTGTGTTTTGACTCACCGTACACATACATAAATACTTTGTAAAATTAATTCCACCCACAGCTCAAGAACTTCTATAATATTATTATGAGAATGCACTTTTTTCGTTGTGTGTGTGTGCTAATATTTGGTCATTGTTTGTTTCAGGTAAAGTGGATTTTTATTTATCGGATCATGGTGTTACTGTATGTATGATATTCATTTTCATTAAATAACTGGTAAGAATAAAAAATGTGGACTAATCATTTTGGCGAATACGGTAAGTAACATTTTTAAGTTATCCATACGCTTCATACAAGCTCGTCTGGGGCTCAAGATCTGGATGAAAATTATTTAATAAAGTTTAGGTTCGAAAGTTGGTTAGACTATCTACATACGTTAATCAATAGATTGACGAACAATATCGAGTATAGATTGTCGCTTACAACCCTGGTTAAATTGATAATAAAGCGCTTTGTGCACCGCGCATAACCCAACACGAATTCATTATCCATTGCCGATTATGTATTTCATGAAAATTTAAGTCAACATTAAATTATTGTGTCTACAAACAATGAAAACTAAATTATCCACTAGATAAATTAATATTGTTTGGTGTAAATAGTTATTTAATCAGCCCGCAAATAAATACATTAAGTCTACAAATAGAAATTGTCACGATATGTATTTTCATAGTCAAATACAAAGCGTTTATTGCAAAATAAAATGTAACTTAGATAGGAAAAAGGATTGCTTTAGCAGCCTTATAGAGAAGGCTGTAGGAAATTTCGACATTTGAAAAGTCAGAATGTTTAACGAAGTGTACATTAGTAATCTGTAACGAACTGCTTGTCGACTGATTGCCTGAAAATCAAGAAATTGTTTAACAAGAGTGATTTCATACACAGAGCGCTACATACACACACCCCAGTGCTTCTAAATATATGTATGTAAGACGATCATCAAACACAACCTTTTTAAAAAAATAACACGTTTAAAATGCTTACATTTTACATTTATATATACTTTTCGAAATCTCACTTCTCTGTCCATTTTGTTAAAACGGCAATATTTTTTTTACGAAAAATAAATAAAATATTTTTACTTCAAATATGGAAGTGACACAAAAAGCCTCTTCTCAATAGTCAAAACCACATCGGTTTGCGAGCGTACGTCACAATAAACTGTTTTACTGCACACATAAAACGAATTGCAATATTTCTTTACTTGCTTTGTGAATAGTCATAATTTATTTTTCGAGGAAAATGCTCGTGTTTGTCATCCCTGTTTTCTGTGAGTTTTCGTTTTATATTTTTTATGACTACGCAGTGAGTAAACCGAAACAATTGCTCCAGACTTGTTCGTACAATTTTTATTTAAAGTCAAACAATAACTTTGAACAGCTTTGGTTTTTTAATAAACAGTGAAGAAAATGCTCATAGAGCTCTCCTTTTTCTGCAAAAACAAGAAGCCAGGTTCTTATGGAACCTCAACGTTATTTTTTCTAATCAAACAACGTCAAAGGACATTTGTACAGAGTCCTCTGCAACTATTTTCATTGCAGAAGAAAAATATCCATAAAGTGAACCGTCGCTTGTAAAATATAAAGTGTATTTTATGACTGTCGTGTAACATGAGTCGTCGACTCTCCCGATCGTTAGGGTTGGGGTGCCATTAAAATTGCAAGTCAGCGCAGAGGCGATCGATGACATCGCTTCAAATATTGTTTATCGCAAAAATCTTCTCTATATTTTTTTATCTGGCATTCATCTAGGCTTGGAGACAATGCAAAACCAGTAAAGCCCAGTTAATAACTTTAATACTTATAATCTTATTGAATTCCTGTTTCATTCTGACCCTAGTTTTTGTTATTACTTCCTCCAATCGACATCAGCATTACCTTGTCTCTCATCGCATTTGATTGTAATTTCCAATACAGACACGCTTTGCGGCGCAGCCAAAGGGGAAATGGACTCAATGTACTATCATATTGTACCTCCGGAAGTTTCTCCAACTGTACAGAATACGCTGAACTTTGACAACTACACAGACTCAGATGATCTTCCACCTAAAAACGACTCGTTACTATTTGACACATTTGTTAGTCTACTGATAGAAGTGTCTACAGAACAATTAAAAAATGTGAAATCCAACGTTATGAATACCTATGATCTACATCGCTCGGATGTCGCTGATGTTAAAATGGCGTTCAAAGACATCGAAGACAAATACACAGATATCATTACCACTAAACTGAAAACTATGTTAGATGGAAAACCAATAAACATTACGGACCATTTTATGATCGATTTTATGGATGTTTCGAATTACATATTGGAAAAGGTATTAAGATATCACATAAAAAATGTTAAAGGGAAAATTGAGAGTCCAACGAAATGGTACAGGGAAACTTTGAAGGAAAAGATTCTTCGGCAACAAACGAAGATTGCGTTTAATTACGTAGAAAATAGTGTGTGCGAGACGCTGCAGGTGTGTCGAGACAGATACTACTACAGCGACTACTTGACAGATTGGTTGCGAACTTTGATGAATGTCACACCGCGTGATCTGAAGAGATTTTTCATTCCAATCACAGATGTGTTGGAAAGACACAAGTACTTTATCAAATCTAACATAAAGTTCCGACAAACTATAAAATACATAATTAATGCCGACGCAATTGTAAAGAGAGATACTTTGGATTTCTTGGACGAAATTTTGACGAATCCTGACAAAGTGTTGAAGTCGGTTCCGCATGGTTTGAAGCCGAGCGTGACGCTTCTGCGAGAATTGTTCAGCATTATTGACGGTGTGTATGACGTAAACGATCAGAATATAGAACAGTTGGAAAATATAACAGAAATGTTAAGAGATTGGATCGAAGGGAATAGTTTTGATGTCCATAAAGTTCTAAATGCTATAATTGACAATATAAGAGTAAATTTACAAATATGGCCTTTAGACATTCAGAATAAAATTTATTACGTGTGGTCTGAAATCCTAGTTCTATGAATAAATGCATTAGTTACTTTTTTATTACTTAAATAAATTTTATAGTATACATTAAATTCCAAAGTCGATTGTTTACCGAGCTGCGAACACGGACCTTGAAGAAAATTGTAAGTGCAAGATTGTATTTCGTTGTCTTAAAAATATCTGATAAGTTAAACCAAACCTGGTGAAGCTGGGATTCCCAAATATATACATTACCCAACTGTTAGTGGCAGTTTCGTACCTAAACCTCAAAGTGATTCACGTCCTCCAGAGAAACGCGGCGTTGAGAAATTCACTGAATCACCAACAGGTGCTTTTTTATTCAAGTACTATACTTAAATTCGTAAGCAATAAACATAAAGAAAAATTTCATTACAAACATTTCTAAGAAATCTATAAAAGACAAGAAAGATTAAACAATGAATAATATTTTGGTAACTTTTCGATCACTCCACGCTTTTACTTGGAAAACGGCTAGTGAAATAGCTATATCACGTAAAAACTTAAGGATTAAAACGGACTAAACGAATACAAATGGCTTTACAAAAACAAGCCAAAACTACATATTATGGAAACTTATACAATCGTGTAGGCTTAGGACCGGTAATAAAAAGAAAGAAGTTCCTGCAAAATTAACTCACTATAATTTCAAAAAACGAACGAATTAAAAAAGTATGAACATCGTATTGCAATTTTAAAGAAAACGCTCTGAGTACAAAAACACGTGCAAGCGTAGATGCTTTGAATAAAAACATTTTCCCATAATATTCCGAGGAAAACAATGGCTGATCTCACCACGGTAGTTTTAGTACTATACGCTTCCTAGCAGTTACTAGATAACACAACGGTTAGCTAACCAGGGTATGTTGTTATACATTATGCAAGTTGCTTCTGCAAATAATGGGCGAGTTTACAGAGGTATTGTAACATACTGAGCTAACTTTATATATAAATGTACGTGTTTTAATATAGGGCAGTCTAGAAGTAAGCTTGAGTGAGGTCATGATTGTTTCAATCTTCTCAGATATTCTTTAAAATCTAAAACGGAATCACAAATACAAATCAATGTAAATCTTAAAAAGAAAGCAGCTGGAACTACTGTTGGTATTTACCAATGCAAATTTAGTAAAACAGGACTTAGTGAGTAATGGGCTTAAACGCTAGGACGTCTTACTATCGTGAGGTCGGGAGTTCAAACACCCTCCCTGGTACGAACGTGAACGAACTCTTATCACAAACCTAGTTCATTTGTTTAGGACTTAATAAGAGCACCAGTAGTTGATCAACAACATCGATAGCACAGAATTAATAGCCGATTAGTTTAACCTAAGAGGTTGTTTGTTTTAAATTGGGTCAGTAAATATTGGTCTGTAAGTAAAGGTTCTTGCTTCATGTATTAAGGTTTGAAGATTTGCCTCAGTGACTATAACGAATCGATTTTGTGTTTATGTAGTGCTAGAAAAAATATTGTAAAAATGCTAAGACTGTTAATAATGCTTTTTGAAATATTAATTGTGAAAGATCGAAGGAAAGAAGGTAAGAAAAATCTGCTCCTAACTTATTTGTATTAAAGGTTTTTACTTATAACAGAAATCGTTGAAATAACATCAAAATTCAAAGTAGTTCTCATTAATGAGTCTTGAGAATATGCTTAGAATTCTTTAAAATGTTTTCGTTCGCCTGATTAATAGAAACTAATTGTTTCGCTACAGATTAACATTAGGTCACAATATGAATGATGGTTCACCGGTAGACGCTACATAAGGTCATTCAGAAGAAAAATGAAAGAGCCTCACACTGTTGTGGGGTGACTTTTGAACTAGGAGATACATTGAGGATTCGGGGGACACCTTCAGGGTAATCATCACCTTCGAACCGCAGATTACAAACAGAAGTAAAACCTAGTGCCTCCACAACTTTATTAATCGATTCTCCAAAATAATATGTCCTTGAAGCAAAAGCTTCTAAAGGGTCCTTCGGAAAAACCTTAACATTCCACCTTAACCTTTAGACGCGCTTCGATCAGCTTTAACGTGAAAAAATCCAATTAAATGAATGGTATTGGAAGCTCGGAGTGAACGGCCTAGACTGACCTAATTACCGCATGTCCTTCGGCGAGTTCAGGTGAGCAACCTTCGCGGCGTAACCGGCGCGACCCACGTGTAGTCTAGCCAATTACTTTTTATATTCATTAAAATGTGTAGCATTTTTATCATATGAAAGTTAAAATGGTCATGCAATTTTCTTTTGTTTAGTTGTGTGTACAAACACTCACACTTACTTACGCATCCAACACTACAAACAATTTGGACATTTACTCCGAGCCTTAAGCTTCTAACAACTACTTCTTACTTCTAACAACTCTGCTAAACATCCAAAAATATGTTTCTGTCATTTCAAGGTCAAACAATATTTAAAGGCCTTACACATTTTCCTCAGCTTTATTGCAAAAAGAACCTCAATCGACCACTAGCGACCACATTCAGGCTATTAAAACCATTCTCCAATACTTCTATCGTCCAGCAAACTCCAAAACACTTGCCTTCCTGACTGACCAATAAACTTCGTCATTGAAAACTAAAATAGACGCTATTCACACAAAGTTATTGCTTGCCCTTTGACTGCTCAAACATTTTCAGCTTTAACTTTATTATTTTACAGTCGAAACTCGCGTGGTACATCATCTCAAGTCAAATCACGTTCGACGCATACAATAGCTAACCATTTGTATGTATGTACCTGTATGGAATGTGTTCCATCCATACATCCATTGTATGATATGATTCAGGCTACTTGTTTGCTTTGATAACTATGATTATGAATTTATGATTGTTGTGGCATGTCGATGCCCTCTTGTTCAAGTTTTGATGTGGCTACAGGATTAGCATAATTTGTTAACTAGGAGTAACTACTGTTACTGTGTATTTTAAAGCGCAGTTTTGGTAATATCTGCATTCCAGCAGGATAAAGCTACACAAAATAATCTTACAACTTATGTATATGTAGATAGTTATCTAAATGTGACCTCAAATATTAGTTATATGCACTTTTCTGAAAATAGTTCTACATTAAAATGTTTATAAGAAACACTTAGAATACATTTTTCAACACATACATGTAATATAATATCGTCTAGGACAAAAACTGAATTTCAATACTTTCACTTTCAAGACTCATCCCTCAAAATGTCCGAAAAGTAGAACACTAAAATTACAAAGACCTGTTCTCGACTAGAAGTGATTAGAAGTGACTGACTAAGCGTTATGACACGAAACATAGAAATCTTTATACATATAGGTAATAAAATGGTAAATAAAGTGTCTGCTTCTTAAATAATTTTTATTCAAACAGAATTAGGATAAAAAAATAGAGACAGGAATGGAACAAAAGAATTAACATGTTTGCACTCGTCAATCTTCGTAACAAATAAACGGCTTTGGATAAAACTTTTCCTACATTATAGCTAAAAAGCTTGGACAAGATGTAAGACTTAATTAGTTTTGAAATTTTGACAAAGATAGAATCGGCTTACAGTCAATTTTGCGTACGAAGTTACAGAAGCTAATATACAAGACAGGAGAACTATAACATTGTTAACACAAACTCGGGCACTCTATACATATTTAGTAATGAATGGCGAGATGCTATTGTTCTTATGATTGTTACATAACTTACCAAATGACTCCTCTGAGTTTAAATTTTACAACTAAATACAAGGACTTCGAAACTACTGGCAATTATGAAGCCAAATATGATGTTTTAAGTTTTTACCAAAGGCCTAATGACCTTTGTACACCTTTTACAAGTACCCAATAAACTTATGTGGCAGATAGACCATTCAAATGACGTTCTGTATTCAAATTCATCTCGTACTTAACTGCTGTATAGTACATCAGACGTTGTTAAAACCGCCCCTAAATATACACAGTTTTTCTGTTAAGGAAATAGGTCAATTTTTCACTGAATCTTCTAGACTGGACTATAATCGCTAGAAGCGCCACATGGTGAGCGGAGATTGTACTATTTAAGTTGTCCTCGTACAAATAGGTTCTTCGTTTTCGTTAACCTAAAACGTATTTTTCATACATTTATTTTTTATTAAAATAACGAACTTCTTTTGTATATTTAATAATAAGTTGTAGGTATAGAGGAGAAGTATTAAAAAAATATTATACATGGTGTAATAGAAATACAAAAACTTGTTATAATAATAGTTATAGTGTTTTTGCATTCCAACTTGGGCCGCGACATTCCTGTATGCTTCGATTACGTCACCAAACATTTGTCGGTTAGGCTGTCGACAAACGAGCGATTAAGCGCAATTTGGTACGATTGTCGTTAATCATAATGGATGATTATTGCAATGCCATTGACTGGATTTGATTGTCGCTAAAATAATAGATTCTATCGGGAGCGAAAAAATGAAAGGTCATGGTATCTATGTAGGAGAAAAGAGAAGAAGAACCTACCTACATGCTTTATTGTTTTTTATACAATCCACAAATATAATTGTAACCCCTAAATAAAAAACAATTATCTGAAGAATTAGTATGTTGGTACCTCCAATGTTTTGCTCTATAACTAAAGTTGTGACGAAGCATCTAACTTCATTAGATGCATTTAAACTCAAAACTAATCGCAAAGTTGGAACTCTGACGTTCGGCGCTTTGATTGGCCTGCTCCAAGTCAACCACCAATCAGAGAGCTAAATGCTGTAACTTTTAGGTCAGGGGAACGTAAATATAACTTGCTCTCAGCACTGTTTACACACTATGCCTCATTCCCCTAATGAGGCATAGTGTGTAAAGACTTTCAACACCAACTCAAAGACAACTCAATAGACCAAACGTAAGTATGTAAGCAGCCTTATAAAATAATTCTATTCATATTCAGTAGTGACATTGTTTCTTGTCCAATAAATTACTATTTACTAAAATGGCTGAATATTATTATACTGTTTGGTGTGTAGAAGTTAAAGTTAGCCAATAATATGTTTAAAATATTGTGTGGTCTTTTTGAATCTGTAGTTTGCTAGGAGAGATAATATGTATTATCTGATGGCTCGATAGCGCCCAATAGGGCTGATATTCACTAAGGATTTCGGTTGCAAACGCATACGGAAGGAATGAAGCATTAGAAGGTAAGTCGTGGTTTTTAGTCTTACAGTCCCTCTTGGTGAGAGAAACTAAAAGCGACAAAAAAAAATTGCTGTTGAGTATCTTTATATGTCTTCTCATTGTATGACTTCGCTAGGTGAAGTTAGAGGGAGTTTCAAAATATTTAAAAACCATTCTGTGCCTTCTTCTGCTTCCAGCTCGTGCCGTGATACGTTATCTTATATATGAAAATGAATCGCAAAATATGTTGGTAAGCGTATAACTCAAAAACGCCTGGACCAATTTTGCCAATTCCTTTTTTGTTATGTTTGTTATTGTCAGGAGAAGGATCTTATCAAAGAAAATATTACAATAGTATAGAGGAAGATTAGGAAAAAGTTACAATATGATAGCGAGATAGTTGGACCCGTGCGAAGCAAGGGCGAGCGGCTAGTAACAAATAATTTTCAGAAACAAAACAGTTATAAAAATCAATCAAAAATTCTTCATACAGTACGACTATACTGCAAATACTTTAGAACTATTATTGGTTCCAAGTTTTAGCCTTGAGCAATCCCCATTACCCGCTTATAAACTATGACTAAGAGAATTCAAATGCTAATATAAAACCTAACGTATTCTAATAATATTAAAATATAATCGATTACCGTCTACACTTACCGTTTAAGGCAACTATAATTTAATAGCCACCTGTGTTATATCTCAACGAAACACATAATAACAATTTGACTGCACGGCTGGTGCTGTGGCTCGGCAACTAGCTGCCGTGCAATGTGTCGCGGGTTCGACTCCCGCACGGAACAACTCTTTGTGTGACTGTGATCCACAAATTGTGGTTTCGGGTCTGGGTGTCATGTGTATGTGAAATTGCATGTTTGTAACCGCACCCACGACACAGGAGAAAACCCTAATGTGGGACAACATTTAAAAAGAAAGAAAATATTATACTTGTGTCTTTTTATGACCGTGACCGTCTTCTGATACTATACCCTACTGCCACAATGTAATGGATTTCAAAAATGAAATAAATAGAATAATCAAGTCACTAGTGAGTGGACTATAATGTACAGGTCAGCTGATTCATGGCAATCACGCTGCCAATATTAGTCACTATATTGTCACGTCACCGCCGTGAGTGCACTCTCCTATATCTTCATTGCACTCAACTTAGTGACAAAAAATCACAATCAGCGACGACTTCAATAAAATTATGTAGGAATCTAAAGAATTTCGGGACCCAAAAATAAACCTAGCTCACTCAGAAATTATAATACTCTATTTCTACTTGATACGTCGATTATAACAATTTCATTCAAGGCAGACACAGTAGCTTATAGTTCTAAAATATAAAAAAAACGAGAATAATCTGTCTTAAGACCGAAGTATTAAGATACAAGATTGTCTAGGTAATCAATCATTAGAACTAGTCCAGCCGCTCCAACGCCCTGGTGACTAATTACTTTTAGTTTCCAACCATAAATTTCCGCCATCTTGTAATAAAATATAAGAAATGTGACACTAAGCATCTGTTGTACCTCCTTACTACTATTTTTTTCTATTTTTTTTTTTTGTTATATTGTGACTGATTGAATGTTAAACCATATCCTTTTATACTGCGATCTCCAACCTAAATATGAAGCTGCTCATGATAACGATAAAAACATTTAAAAAAACTCTCAAACAACATTAACAAAACAAAAGCAGTTATTTATTAACCCGTCCATTTTATCCCATTAATCGAGGAAAATTGAATAAAACGAGAAACATGTATTAAATGTAAACACCGCCCAAATAAATTACTGTTTTATTAATTAAATGAAATGTAAATATTACCGTATTTAATTGTGAATTAACTGGTTCGAAATGTCACGAAGGTGCTTTGTTTTTTTCAACCAATATTACTGGTCACTTACTCTTGTGAAACAAAAACAAATAAAAGAAAAAGAAAATATGTGTACGAAATTTAAATAAAGAATTTTAAAAGAAAAATGTAATTTAATTAAAGTGCCAATAAAATCACGCTAAATGCAGTTATGAAATATAAACCAACACAGATTTATAAAATAAACATACATATTTAGGAGCGAATGGCAAGAAACTGTTTAAACGACCATGAATATGTTGAAATGGTACATACACCGTACAGTTTGTTTATTCAGAACATCAATAGCTGAGATGAATACTGCCCAGTCATATGCTACATCTGGTCGCTCCATATGCAAATCTTTGGTTCGCAATGACTCAATCTAGGTTACAAGCGCACTGCAGTCCCAATCTTTTTGCTCATTTTATTTTTATATGGCAACTCTTAAGATAAAATGTCACATTTTATTCGCATATGGTAATACTTTGTTTAAATGTCAGTTGGTTTTTGTGTCGTTGAATTGAAAGTTGTGTTATTATTGGAGTTTATTTGTTTATAAAAAATTTGTA